CATATGTCAACATCGATGTTAAAACATCGAAGTTTTAATTTTTAACATCGATGATCATCTAACACACTTTTAAGTGTGTTTCCCACTCAGCGTGTGTTATGCGACGATCGTAAATAAAGCGCAAGGTCAAACTTTACGCGTTGCAGGAGTGGACCTCAGTACTGATTGTTTTGCACATGGCCAAATCTATGTTGCTTTTTTCCGCGTTAGTAGTCCCCGTAAACTTTTTCTGTACGCCCCGGCTAAGTCTACTTCTTCTCGTCGTTTACACAGAAGCTCTATCATAAATGACTTAGAACTTTGAGCATATCGATTTATTTTGTTACCACTTATTCATACAGTAATGATATAAATCGTTTAATATTCTCTTACCCTAAACGTCAAATTCTTTAAGTAAAACGTATATTCGCGAGCTACGCCGCGGGCACAGCTAGTACATAATAAATGAGTACCGACTTCAGAATATCAAAATATTTTATCCTTTTTAGTTCTTAGATTTACTCTTTGTTATAGGTTTATCACAGTCTCGTCATCACAGGAATAATTAACCCCATTTAATAAAAACATTGTCATCAAAATCAGTTTACAATTGACGAAGACATCGCGTAACACACATATAAAAAACATACAGTAGAACTTTTTTTTTTACTTCCGCCTTTTTGAAACTAGCTGAAAAGGGGAAACATGAACACCAAATCGCATACTAAAATTCAAGAAAAATCTACTCAAGCCAAATAAAAAATATTTACAAACAAATAGTTTTTGTTGAAAAAGAAGAAGAAGAAATTTTAGACAAAAAAATTTATTTGTATTGTAGTAGAAACGTGAAAAGAACAGAACTTAAAAACTACAAATACTTTTGAGGACAAAACAAAATAACTAAAATAGAAACAGGCCGCATCGCGCAGCATACTGTGACTGCAAAAATTCCCTAGACATGTAAGCGTTCGATACGTTACGTTCCCCTGCAGTATGCTAAAGATCAATACGAAGTGCATTAAAGTGATTTAGGGCGACAATGCGCCGCGATAAGCTGCATCCTGCTCTTAACAGCTCAGAACTTAAGTCCTCTAGACCTAAGCGTTTTCAAGGATGTGCCTTAAGGCGTGCATTTCGTCAAAACATTTCCGTTCTCATTAAAAGGTCTTTTGCGATCAAATACGTATAAGGTCATCGCAAAAGTCCGACGTATAATGCATTCAAATACAAACCAACAACAGTACTTGATCTTTGAAGAAATTTAGTGGGGTCTTAGTATAATACAGCGAGGAGTAATCGTCGACGGTTGCAGGCCACACGTCTTCCGTGTATACAGTCACCTCCGCGCACACCTGCATAGAAAATACATACATATAAAACAAAATATGTATAATAATGTCCTTCTGGTCGAATTTCGATCAAGACGGCCAGTCTCAACGTAGTCCGGCCATCTGCGCCGGGCACTATAATCCTGTACAGTGCCTGAGTGAATGCGCAAGCACAGGTGCACTCACTTTTCCATCACTCTTATAGTTCGATGGGACGGTACTCCGACACAACAGAAGAGAGAGCAGGCGCATATTAAAGTGTGTATATGCTACCACTATCACACCATCACTACAGACCCTCACAAGTCCACTTGTGATGGTCTGTATCTGAACATAGGCCTCCCCACAGATTGCCACAAAGTACGCTCCTAAGCCACCTGCATCCATCAACAATTTGCGTGTATCATCAAGTGATCGTTTTCTAGTGGGGCGTCAGCAAATACAGCGCTTGCCAGTACAAGACTGCCACTCGACAAGCTTTTAACCTTTATATGTTAAACAGAGCTTAATTTTGACAACCATGTCCTATGCACGCGATATGTTACTAGAGCATCACATCCGAGGAAAGACTAAATTTATAACTTGTATAAAATGGCAACGTATTAAGGCTCCTGTGTTTCGTATTGTAGGTGACAAACTAAATTACCCGATTGTTAGTTACGAGATATCTATTCTAATCTTCAGCGATGACAATGAATAAACTTACTGTCAGCACAGCCTAGTGCATCATACTGTTAGGCTTATTTCTCACACTAACTATGATATCCTCTTGCTTTCTTTATATATTGCCTCATTAGTCTACTGCTCGTAACTACGACTGCTAATCATGAGGTACCGGGTTCGAATACCAGGTCGGGCCAAAAATCTGTAATTGGATTTATTCTTCAAAAAAAAAAATATATATATATATATATATACATTTCACCTGATAACAATACACCCGTGTGTAGAAGAATTATATAAGTGTGTAACAGTGGTAGAGCCACGCGGCAGCTTATGCTGTCGCACGGATGAGCCGGCTCGAACCGGGGTGATACCACGACCTCACAGAATACCAGCGTGAAGTAGAGGTTAATCTCTGCGTTTCGCTTGGTGAGTGCAGGTAGCCGGAGGCCCTTTTTACTGGAAATGAGGCATTCCATCCCAATCCTCAAGGGTGAAAACGCATCTGCATTTTCATCTGCAACAGAGGATAGATGTAGATGTCTATGGGCCGTAGCAACCACTTACCATCATGTGGACTGTGTGCTCGTATTTCACCCTTATCCTATAAAAAAAACGGCTGGATCGATTTTCTTGAAATTGTGTGTGATTAAGTTGATTCGATAATGGTTTAGATTAATAATTGGATCCACTAGTAGAATATAAAATATTAATTTTAGACTCACCTTAGTGGAACTGTGTTTGGGAAGTTCCAAAACCAATTGTTCTGATTTTGTGCGATGCATAGCTGCTTCACAATGGCTCACACATTGCGTAGGATTTCTATTTGGTAAGAACACACTCCAGGGGAACTCGGTAAGCACATTGACTCTCAGGGGTCCATCTCCAACATTTAGTGCATGGAAGTATTTACGGACTCTGCAAACAAACCCTCTTTTTATTAAATTATCTTTAACTGGCTACAAAAATCAGTTTCTTGATTCTATATCTTTATATATAAAAATTACGTGTCACGTTGTTTGTCCGCGATGAACTCCTAAACCACTGAACTGATTTCAATAAAATTTTGCACACTCAGTACAATTTGGTCCAACTTGAGAGATAGGATAGTTTTTATCCTGATAAGCGACACTCAATATTTTTTATGACGAATTTAAGGATTTTTTTATATGAATGATTGTCGAAAATTGTATATATATATATATATATATATATATATATATATATATATATATATATATATATATATATATATATATATATGTATATTTAACCAGATCGGATGAGAATTGAAGCTCGGATTAAATAATTGTATTTTATTTTTTGTATAATTTAGTATTCTACATTTAAATTAGTCAATTATATTATTTTAGCTTTTTTATTGTTATTTACAACATATTTACAACATGTGTGCGATTTAGAAGATGTTTTCTTCCTCGCACAACTTCCTTGTGGAATAGTTTACCACCAGGGATTTTTCCGGACCGATACGACTTAGGGACCTTCAAGAAAAGAGCCTACTCCTTTTTAAAAGGCCGGCAACGCATCTGCAATTCCCCTGGTGTTGCGGTTGTTCATGGGCGGCGGTAGTCACTTACCATCAGGTGAGCCGCATGCTCGTTTGCCCCCTCTCCAATAAAAAAAAAAAAAAAACATGTCTAACGCTGTCCTACTTATAATGTAATATAGTCATTGTTGTGATATTAATATCTCTTCGCTGTAATCGGTCAGTAGCAGTCCAGTGGGGGCCTATTCCTATTGTGCAAAGGCCTTGCCACAAACGCTAGCTTGTCTGGTAGATTAGGGATTGCAATACTAGATGTCTCGCACCTTTGACAATTCCTCGTCAACAATTTTGGTATATTACGCTTGATGTTTGCTAGTCTTCTAGCGTGCCGTTTAATTCTTTCTTCTTTTTATAAGATAAGGTTGACAAACGAGCTCACAGTCTACCTGATGGTAAATGGATACTGTTTCCCATAGACATCTACATGTATTCTCGATTACGAATCAAAATGCAGATGCGTTGTCACTCATGAGTACTAAGATAGAATGCCTCGTTTCCAGTAAAAATGGTCTTAATCTAATTTATAATAACATTTCTTAATCAAAAACTATTTAGTACTATCACAAACTTCTTATCATCAGTTTTTTGAATTGCCTCCTGTTATTACAGAAGTAAATTTAAAGACGTGTCCACGTCAAAAGGAGCATGCAACAAATGTCGGAAATACATTATCTCATATAAATAAGTGAATGCGATACCTAGTGACGCCAGCCGTTGGTAGGTGAAGTGCAGAGAGCAGCACGCGTAGTTCGCAGCGCGACAGCTGCAGGCGTGCGCACCCCTCAACGTGGAGACGCACGCGTTGTGCAGGTGGATCCGGTCGAAACCAGCCGGGACTGTGGCAAGAAGGTTGCACCTGGATATTCTAAGTTATAGACGGGTTTTAGTGCAGCGCTAAATTTGGTAGAGTCACGCTGCACCTATGATACGCCTGCATGAACATTGAGGTTATATAAGAAGACGAGGATATCAGATTGTTCATAACACACGTTAGAGCTCACAGGCTCAAACTTACCTAGTTTGTGCCATAAAAAGGTACTCTGCGCCTCCGATCACGTGCCTCGCACTGCAGTCAGATTTTGTTCGTTGTTGTCTGATTATGTAGTACAAATTAGTTTAGTGTGCATGAATTGATGCACTCGTAAGGGGAAAGACCACGCTCAGAATACAAGTTTTAAAATAACAGCATAATACTAATGTTGCGTATGGTGAGTGGAGAACACTATACATCATTTTTAACCCATATATGCCTTAGGAGCCTGTTAACGACCCATTCTACTTACTTCGATAAAAATGCGTTGCGAAAGAAAACGGTAATAAATTATTTTTGTCTAGTGCCATCTTCTGCTTAACTAAAGTACTACTTCATACATGCGCATCATCCGTACTCCGGCAAGTGTCAAATTTGACAGATGGAAAGTTAAAATTCAGTTAAGTTTTTTCGCAACAAAATTGTAAAAAATATGTTGGTGGGTCGCTATCGACCCCACGGGCATATAAGATACTTATATTTGGCGTTTTGCAGGTCTCGTCGATTACTTTCCACTACTGAAATAGCTGAGGCCCTCGAAGCTTTGGAGGAAGTGGAAGATATTCAAGGTATAGATGTTTATATATATCCACCATGTAACGATGAAATTTCTGATGGTGACTTGGGGGAAGAAGACTGTTGCGATTTTGATATATTGAATCGGCACCAGCTTCTCGTGCCTGTTGAGCTAGTAATTCACACGTCGAAAGATGACCAGCATGTTGAAATCGAGGCTATTGAACCTGAAATCTCTTCTCCTGCTCCTGCTAAAACTCTACGTATGCCTAAAAAGTCTCAACCAGATGTTACAATAAGTAATGAGCAACTCAGGCAACCGACAACCAGTCAAGACAGGCCTTCTACTAGTCAAGAGCAGTCTAGTAGCAGTACTACTAGTAGCTGGTCAGGCGCATGTCCATTACTTCAACAGAAACCAAGACGGTGGACCAAGAGAGACTTAAATATACCACAAAATGTCTGGGTTCAACCACCTCCTCGAACCGTACTAACTTTGAGTAAAGAAAGTGAACCTTTAGAGTTTTTTGAGTTGTTTTTCAGTGAAGATGTAACTCGACATCTTGTGAGACATTCTGTTATATATGCAGTGCAACAGAACCCCAATACAAAGTTTACTTTGTCAGGAGATGATATTTACTGTTTCCTAGGAATTCTCATTCTTAGTGGTTATGTACCTTTACCCAGACGGTCGAATGTTTTGGGAAACAAATAAGGACACTCACAATGCTCTTATTTCAAAGTCGATGCGCCGCAATCGTTTTGAGGAAATATTCTGTATTTTAATGCAGCAGAAAATAATAATTTGCGCCCAAATGACAAAACGGCTAAAGTTTTTTTTTATAGGATAAGGGTGACAAACGAGCACACAGTCTACCTGATGGTAAGTGGTTGCTGCGGCCCATAGACATCTACATCTATCCCTTATTACAAATCAAAATGTAGATGCGTTGTCACCCGTGAGGACTAAGATAGAATGCCTCATTTCCAGTAAAAAGGGCCTCCGGCCACCTGCACTCACCAAGCGAAACGCAGAGGTAAACCTCTACTTCACTCTGGTTTTCTGTGAGGTCGTGGTACCACCCCGGTTCGAGCCGGCACATCCGTGCGACAGCAAAAGCTGCCGCGTGGCCCTACCACTGTTAAAGTTCGACCATTGCTTGATTTTCTGAATGAAAAATTCTTGATGTATGCACCTATAGAAAAAATTGCAGTATAGACGAGTCAATGATCCCATATTATGGCCGCCATGGATGCAAGCAGCATATACATGGCAAGCCCATACGGTTCGGATTCAAAGCTTGGACGGCTGCTACATGACTAGAGTACTGTGTTCATGCAGATTTATATGAGGGAAAATCTGAACAACGATCCACTGGACTTGTAGAACACGTAGTTACTAAGATGATGGAAGCTATGAAAAAAGAATACCCGGAAACCCAATTTTCAGTTTTTTGTGACATTTTTTTTACCTCACCAACTTTTATAAGCAATTTGCAGGACAAGAACATCAAGGTAACAGGCGGCACTGTGCCAAAATAGGATTGATAAATATCCGTTAACGGATGTCAAGTCTGTCAAAAAGCAGCAAAGAGGCTATTACGACTACCGTTTGGACAATAAACGGCCAAATATGTGCTGTACGCTGGAATGACAACAGTGTTGTTACTTTACTCTCCAATGAATACGGTGTTCATCCAATTCAAAAGCAAAACGCTATTCGGCAGTCGAGAAAAAAAAGGTTGATATTTAGCAGCCTTATGTAGTTCAACAGTATAATCGTTTAATGGGTGGAGTCGATAGACTAGATGCCAATGTTGGGACATACAGAATTGCAATTAGAGGTAAAAAATGGTATTCTAGCATTATAATATGGATGATTGATGTAACCGTCAATAATTCTACTTTGCTAGCTAGATCAATGGGTGCTGAAGTTGACACATTGGAGTTCAGACGTTCGATTGCGCGTTCCTTGTTACAGAAGTATGGAGCGCCAAGACTTCACCCAGGACCAACGACACTGCCTGTTTTTCACAGTAATATTCCTATGTCTGTTCGGAAGCACGGTGCAGATCACTTGATCATAACAGGTCAAGCACGAAAACGTGCTCTTCGTAAAAAAAAAACCACCAAAATATGTAAAAAATGTGGTATAAATCTACATGACAAGTGTTTTGCCAATTTTCATGAATAATTTTATTACGTTTGTTATGAATAAAAACTGACTTAAAACATTTTCTTTCATTTTATTTTAATGTTGCATTTTCATACAAATATGTAAGTTTATTTGCCCAGTGGGTGTTTAACGACCCATTAAAAAAAACATGTTTCCAATACTGAAAACCTGAATTTACTGCCTTTTGCTAGTATCTAGTACAATTTTATGCACTTAATCCAAAAATCATAAAAATTCGTTGCTAAAAAAGTTACGGGCACATATGGGTTAATAGTAACAGGGCGTTTGATATTCGTCCCCACTGGGGACCAGTTACAATCATTTGTATAAATAACACAAATTGTATTAAAATTCAGAAAATTACTCAAGAAATCCGAGAGGTCAATCGACGGATTCAACTCGGCTGGGCAGCCTTAAAACGAAATTGTACAACCAGTGCGTGTTGCCAGTGATGATCTTCGGATCTGAGACGTGGTCCTTCACTACTGGCCGTATGAGGAAGCTCAAGGTCGCTCAGCGAGCTATGGAGAGGGCTATGCTCGGAGTTTCTCTGCGTGATAAACTTAGGAATGAGGATATCCGCAGTAGAACCAGAGTAACAGACATAGAACAACGGATTAGTAAGCTGAAGTGGCAGTGGGCCGGCCATATAGCTCGAAGAACCGACAACCGATGGGGAAGAAAGGTTCTCGAGTCGCAGCCTCGTACCGGTAGGCGAAGTGTAGGGCGACCCCCCACGAGATGGAGTGACGACCTGGTAAGGCATGCAGGAAGTCGATGGATGCAGGTGGCTCAGGACTGTGCTTTGTGGCATTCTTTGGGGGAGGCCTATGTTCAGCAGTGGACTTGTGAAGGGCTGTAATGATGATGATGAATTATATTATTAAGCACTTAATCAGCTAATAAATTTTAGCGACCTATTATAATAATAACTCACTGGTACATTGTTTTATTGTAAGTATTTTGTCTGTAATTGATTTGTAAATCTTTTAGGAAAATAAATGTAATGTAAACCATAACTTCATAATATTATATCTTAATTGTAATGATTATTATAATAATAAATAATCAATACTTAATTGATTCGTAAAACATACAACATACTACAAAAATTTAAAACGATGACCCAACCAAAAAATATTTACAGGCTACCGGTTTCATCAACACATGGAACAAGTATTGACATCGCCAAGGAATATTTTTCCAGTGCTGAAGTGTGTCGATTGGTAATTGGAAATAATTACGCTCAGAGAATCTGAACCCCAAAACACAACTCTTACATTGAATATTGACGTTTGAAATGGATCTATGTACGGTGGCAATCCCTTTTTTCGATTTTATTTGTTAATTTCCTATTTTATCGATTGCTTTTTAGATGAAATTATCTAATGCGAGTTTCTGTTGTATTTTGCGGAACTACAACTAATTCGCATATATAAAACACATTATTACACAATTGACAGACTGACTGTAATTAATGAAATGGATATTCGATAGACTGTGATGATGATGATGATGATGAAAGGCTGTAATACAATTACACATTACAGACAAACATTAAATTAATGTAAATTAATGGAATACCCGCTGCGCTGCATGGGTCGCGCTTGAAGCATTAGCGTGGCGTTGCTCTGCAGCGCTGCATCGGCGAGCACGCGTACTGATTGCGATGTTCTAGCACCCGCTGCAATCGAGAAATCGCTCGGTTGCACCTGTATCACGTATAAACGTATTCCTTAATCAATTTTCAAGAAGATTTTATTTTGTGAGACGACTTCAAAAAAAGGTGATTCTCAATTTGACGATATGATCTTTTTTTTGTATGTATGTTACGTGATTTATTCAATGTAATACCAGTAGGGGTTATCTATATACAGTGAAACCTGGATAACTGGGACCTCAAAGACCTGCAAATTTGTCTCACTTAATGAAGTATTCCACTAACCCAGTGTCTCAGATATCCAGGTATAAATAAATATCTGCCTCATTTACAGAGGGTTTCGTGAATAGAGGTGAGAATAGAGTTTATTTCAATTATAGAGGTGCGATTATTAAATAAAATAACGTATTTTGTTAACATTATACATGAGTTTAATTTAATTAGCCAAGTACGGAATTTGAGGCATAGAATTATTACGCATAGAATACTAGTACGCCCACCGAAAGTGAAGCAAGTAAAACTAACTCGAAACCGCGTTAGTTGACTCAGCGACGCGTCAGTGCGCAACGTCACGTCTTACGGAGAAGAGCTCGCGTAGAATTGTAAAAATTACCGTTTGTGTTGTAAAATATTGTCACAATAGTGTGATAAACATAAAAGAAGTGATGGTATTACATTTCACATATAAGTTTATACATTTAATTCATTATAAGTACGTAAAACTAAAAAAATACTTACCTAAGCTCTCATAATACAAATGTTGCTAGTTGTGGGAAAAAATTAAAATTTTATTTTAAAAATATTTAAAATTTCTATTTGTGTTTAAAACGTTTAATCGCAACGCTATGTGTAAAACTCAAATGTTTATATATAAATATCTACTTCTCTAAGTGTTAACATTATATTAACAATGGGTGCCTATTTAAAACTAAAACGGAGTGATCAGCTAATCGCGATTCGTCGACGCCATTTTAACGCAACTATTTTATTTTAATTGCTTTGTTTATTGATTAAGGCTAAGTTTTAGAGTATAGAATAAAAACTTTTTTATTTACAACATCAAGAGATTATTAATTAGAACGCCTTTACTAACCAGATGTCACTTTACACCCAAACATTAACCAGATGTTACGTTAGACCCAAACATAGCCTATTTTAATCGACTCCCAAAAAGAAAGGTTATCAATATGTATGTACACTGATTTCTAAGCTTGATCAATTCGTATATACATGATGAAATTTTAGTGGTTGTTGTCGCGCAGCCAAATTATACTGTCTCGATAGTAGACAATTACAATTAAAAAAGGGCAGATTTACAATAGTAATACTTCACAAGCTAGTCGGGCGTCCAGACTAGTTTATGTCGTATCACTACGCTTGAGAGTTCATGTTATGAACATTTATTATTAGGCCTTCTCTGTGTAGGAAGCGGTAGCGCGTGCAATAAATATAACATAACATTACGTCCAGTGAATTTTTTTTTCAGACTTTATTATAGTAATTCGGTATAAGCTAGCCTGCACGCCCGACCTACTTGCGAGATATTGCTATTGGTTTGTGATCGCATTCGAGTTTTGTTTTTCTCGATTCTGCCATTTTTGCATCCTAAATTTTAATAAATCTTTCTTTTACGTGGTAGAGCCATGCTGCAGCTATATTAGTAGTATAGTTGTAGCACGAATGGGTCGGCTCGACCGGGGAAGGACCACGCTCTCACAGAATACCAGCGTAAAATAGCAGCTTGATGCTGCTGTGTTTCGTATGGTGAGTGTAGGGAACCGGAGACCCATTTTACTGGAAAAGAGGCATTCTATCTTGGTCCTCACATCTGACAACACATTTGCATTTTAATTCTCAAACGAAAATAGATGTAGATGTC